TAATTTTCACAAATATGTATTGAATTGGTTTATATACAACAATAGCTATGCAATACAAGCGGGTTATCAGTTTTCGTCTTTTAAAGTCCGCTTTGAAATTTTAAAAGGATAATATATAACTTCTTGGAAAATTTTGAGTTTTAAGTATTTTCTACTTTTCATTCTATGTATATATCAGAATTATTTGAATTTTCAAAGAATGAACGTTTCAAAAACGTTTTATTTGCATTAAATATTGGAGATATATTTCACACGTTGTTTTCAAATATTAACCTGGGGGCATTTTTGCCGAAGTACTGTCCCAGGACGATAATTTGAGCCTATGTTTACATAAAAATTGATAACAATGCGTAAAAAAAGGTAAAGCAGACTGAAGCCTAATAAATGAAACACTAAGTAAAACGTCATATTTTCATGTGCCTTGATAGTGCAGTAGGCACAGCGTCGTGCCACTGTTGTTTCATGTATTTAGATCCTCGGTACCATTACATTTGAGTGTTTCATTTATCTTTTTCTTATTTGACCAGTTTTGGTTCAAATACTTACAAATGCATGAGATAGAATATTTTGTACACAGGTTGATATGCAGTTGTGTTAAGTTTGGGGAAAACGTCAAACATCAGGAAAAAACATTATCATAAATGTAAAAAAATATAATTGATCCATATATTCAAATTTTTAATATTTCGTAATTGTAGTGTGTTCAAAAGTGTTTGATTTTTAAAATGTTAAATAAAAATTAAAACAAAATCACTAGAAATGTAGTTAGTTTCGACAAAAATGAAATAAAAAAGGGAGAAAAACAACAACAACAACATCAACATAGTAACTTGGCGGAGCGAAGGTTTCAAACACAAAAGTGCTTTATATGGTGTGATCGAGTATCTAAAGATTAACTAAGAGCAATATTAAAATTTCGAATTTCTTTAGACTTTACCTCCAAATTAATTGACAAAATGGTATGACATTTTGCTGGTGAAATAAATCATATATAATGTACATTTTTGAATATTTTGTTTTTGTATTTTGAATACTTTTAAGCTGATGTACACGTGTGTTATCAAAGCAGAATACTATTAAGAAGAGAATGTATATAACCTAAATTCATTCAATTTGATAGTTCTCCTACTTTTCACATTATATTTGTATGACTTCATGGACAGAAAGTATAGTTAAATGAAAAAAATGGACGCAGGTAATAAGATCGTTTCACCATTGTACTCATTAAATTTGGTTCCACCATTGTATATGTACTCATTTTTTAAAAAGATGTACAACTTCGTCATGTAACTTTACAAAGGATGGAAATTGTTCAAGACGGGCAAACTGACAATTGTGCACAAGATGACATAGCGAATTTTGCTCAAAATGCGTTTCTTTTACTGAAAACATCACATTGTAGTACTTGTTCCCCCATTGTACTCAACACTCAAAGTACCTTTTTCGACTTTCAGGGCTTAACAGAGTGAGTTACAAAGTAACTAATAACAAAACAGTATTTGCTTTTTATACAGGGGTTCCGTGGGGCCTAGTTTTACATATAAATTCAGTGGCGGATTCAGGCCTTTACTAGCGGGGCTGGAATATATTTTTGCTAGTTTCAATTTAATTTAACGTTTACTGTATGCTTACTACAATTGTATTGCTTTTATCGAGCGTCCAGGCTGCCATTTTATGAGCCCATTATACGATGGTGGTCACGTGATCATCCGCAGTAGTAAACTTCTAATATCTTCTCAAAATTAACCAGTTCGATTTCAGCCAGACTTATCTGGAATTTTTGGGTGAAGGACTTTCAAAGTTTTCAACGAACTCTAGTTGCCCTAGCACCGGTCTTCATTTCCAGAATCACAAGCCTAGAGCATATTTTGCATTAGGCATTACCTAGAAGATATTAATCCTTCAATAAATTCATGCTTGCGAAGCATCCCCACCATGACTCAAATTTCTGGTTTCATGTGCTTTTTCCATGCACGAAACGTTTCAATCCAGCCATACTGTCAGTTGATGCATAGCCGAATAACGGTTGCAAAAATCTAATGTTTTCGGTTCCATAATCTGCTCGTACATGTAGAAGTCTTGGAAGTGTTATTAACTGTTTCAAGTAATCAAGACAGTATTTCACAACAGTCGAAATGTTATAACAAGATGCTACTTCAAGCCACATGACTATGCGACTACATCCGCCGATGCATCCATGAATACAGAATCCGGACGATTTTAATTTGTCATTGCCGTCCACATGCCACTCATACACTGTAGTTAGGCCATTTAAGTGCATATGCCCTTTGATGTAATTTATGCGCTTTTCGTTGTTTCGTTGTACTAGGATTAAGGTGTTTCATAATTTTCATGTTTTCGCTTCTTTTCACAGCTAGCCTATGATCCTTTACATGGTTCTAGCCCAAATAGTCGTATAGCACTAAACTTATAACCTCGTAAACAGGTGAAAATTGCGGATGGTGTCTCGTTAGATTAAGTGTTCACAAGATACGCATACCTAAGACCTTCGATAAAATATATGTTTATTAGTTTATTTCTTGCCAAACCATTTCTGAGGTGTAGTATTTGTGACGGCACTACATTTTCTGCATACGGAATTAAATACACGAGTAGAATGTACGCGTTGACATTCTTACACCGTCCTTCAAGATGTACAAAATGACCGCGCAATGCATTAACTCTTAACAAATTAGTAATAACAAATAACTGAAATAAGTAATAACAAAAAAGTAATAAAAATAAGTGTTAAGAAGTAACAACAAACGACCCTCCAGGGCTTCTATAACATTTTTTTCAGATCGGAAATGTGGCAGGTAGTTCACATGTATTACACCTTTGTATATGTCTAAATATTGAGAAACCTTACCCAAATGTGTATTCGCTAAATATATTTGCTTGTAAAGATTGTAAAGTCACACTTGACACGAAATTTATCATGAAACATAAAGCCGTTTGAAACTAAATCTGGTGACCTTTTAGTAAGTGTGTTCTATGGCTATTTTCACAGAACAAGTTTTGATACCTAAAGTATTGTGGTAATTTGTGTTTTTTCGTACATGAGTATTTGGACAATATGCTGATAGGAATATTTTTAACTCTCTCTTTCTTTTGCAAACGGAAGCGGCCTTAGTCAAATACCTATTAAATTGTATTATTTCTTGTAGAAGTTTATCAATTCAAAAATATTTTATCATAGATGCCTGAAATAAACATTATCAAAACGTTGCAGCAATATGGCATTTCTAAATCTTTTTGCAATTTTGAGCCACTTTGATGCCATTCTTTTACAATTGAAATATACATGTTATTCCAAGTTATGGATTAAAGATATTTAAATGGAGACACATATACAAACATGAAAAATTTATTATCAATAAATAAACATAAGAATAAAATTATATTTCAAATTGCACATTACGATCACATGTTTAAAATAACACATTGATGTAGAGAAGTAACAGCTCATTATGTATAATAACAAATCACACATATCATTGTTTAATGTCCTCCTCAGGATTAAATGTGATCCCCTTTATATTGAAAACATTCTTCACTTTTCTCTCTTTCTTAAGTGCTTTTATATTTAATAATTATTATCATAATCATTATTATTGTCATTATTATTTGTTTTTGTTTTTTATTTACATTTTTTTTATTCGCTTATCTTTTTTTCTAATTTTCTTTATTGTTTCATATTTGAATTTTCGTTTTGTGTTTGTTTGACTGTGCTTTTTGTGAATTTAATACCGTGTCATATGTAAAAAAAAATTTTAATGACATAAAATAAAATAGCTGGAAATTAGAATTAACATTCAATCTAGTAGCATACTACTATTATCAAAACAAGAATGGCATGATATTGTCCAACAACATTGACCTGGCACTCTTGCATTTGACCCTGTAGTCGGTATATCCGTAACCGTCACGATCTACTTGTTAATCGATATGAATGTAAATATCCCATTAAAATGATGTAAATTAAAAAAAAAAAAAAACTCTTAGCGCAGTTGGTAATGGGGTTTCATTTGAAGAATGTAGACATAAACTGGTAGGTTCAAATCCTAATTCAGCAACATCTTTTTTCTTTTCATTTTAATTTCAAAATTGCCATTCTCTTCAAACTATTGCAAACTTTTTTGTTGCGTGTACTATTTTAATAACATCCTTAAAAACGAGTAAGTGCTAAAGAATATACGATTGCATAATGTCACAAAGAGAACCGTTGAAAGCTATTGTACTGAAAAAATATGATTGTATATAAAACACCACTTAAAAGGTATTCTAAAATCAGGTGCAGAAAAACTATTTCAAATTAATTCTTGCAAATAAATTTTAAAAAATCATAACGTGGTGTTGGTAACAAAGACCTTCAGATCGGTAGTCTGACATTTATACCAATATATTTACACAGCACGTCACTGACGAGTGAAGTTAGTAAATATATCGATATATATTCGATAGATACTGGTCAGTGTTTATTCAAAATACCTTTTCGAAAATTAATGAAGTGCCAGGTCAATATTGTTGGACAATACATAACAACTACAATGTGAAATATTTATAATGATGAATTATGTTTAAAAAGTCAAAGGTCACAAACGGATGATGAAGTTCAACATATTTTTCTTCTGATACGAATGCATATATATGTCTGAAAATGATCAAATTTAAATCATCGGAAGGTCACTGTTTATCCCTTGCTGAGATATGATCTGAGGATTCATGTTCTCAGTATATGACAATATAAAAATGAAGGTGAAACATGTTGTGTTGCAATCATTCCTGATGAATTGGTCCACAATGGAAAACCTGTAATGCTATAATTAACAAAAAATGTTCCTTTTTTGTTAAATTTGAATTATGAAGTAACTATGAGCACAAATATGTTCCCGTTTGTATAAATATATCAAAATAGCCATGTTATATTTTTCTTCCTTATTCCACATAATATGCTAGCCACCTCATAGCGTCACCGTACCCTGTTTGTTTTAAAATACTGCTTGGAAATGTCTCTAAAGGTCTGCTTGGCAGCTCAGCTCTTGGAATATGTTTCTGAAATATTATACAAATACATATGTAATCATTTTGACTATTATAAATAAAAAAACAGACTAGAAACCATGTTATGGTAGTCCTAACGACATGCTGAAGCTAGTTTAGACTAAACTACTAAATACAACAATAAAGGCAACAATTAATCTTATCAGTTTATCGTTCATATTGGTTAAAAGTTTGATGAGATTGTCGTTGACTTCAAACCACTTGCCTATTACAACTATAGGTTCGATTCGCGCAAGTGCTTTGGATTCGTTCATGTGAAAAAGCTATCCAGCTTGCTTGAGCAACGTCAGTGGTTCTACTCAGGTGCAATAACCAACAGAGGAGCACCTATATATAAGGCTTCCTTCTGGAAAGTTGTCTATGACCTATACTGTGTTGGTGCAACGTAAAACCCAATAAAGAAACAATAGTTTGAATTCTTCTTTTAAATACACTTAGATAGTATGTTATTACGATGTGTTCAGACTGACCATTTACATTTTTAAGATTTGCATATGTTTTCAAAAACAAAACCAGAAAACAATTGAAAAAAATACATTCAAAATAGCTACCCAACCTTAGATAGAAGCCGCATGCAATCTTCACAATTAAAGATGTTTGACTCATTGATTCGAAGGACCTCAAAGTTAGGATCAGCAATCTTATGTATACACTAGTATACATTTTGACCCGATAGAAATCATTCAATATAAAGCATAAACCAATTATGATCTTCATATGAGCCGCGTCACGACAAAACCAACATAATGGGTTTGCGACCAGCATGGATCCAGACCAGCCTGCGCACCCGCGCAGTCTGATCAGGATCCATGCTGTTCGCTTACCAACACTATTACATGTAGAGAAACTGATAGCGAACAGCATGGATCCTGATCAGACTGCGCGTATGCGCAGGCTGGTCTGGATCCATGCTGGTCGCAAACCCACTATGTTGGTTTTGTCGTGACGCGGCTCATATAAAGATAAGCTTCACACAGATCTCGCTTTATAATTTCGAAAGTTTTAGCGACCATCCAAAGATAAGCTGTCGTTTAAAACAAAATTAAATTATCATAAATTAATAACATTAAGTGTCACAAACCTTTCCAGTTCTATGTACACCTAAGTTTAGTTTGTCGGATAAATACTCTTCGCCAACAGCTTCCTTTCTGTCTGTCTTGTTAAATAAGATGTCATCTCTGATTGTACTCTGAAATATCACGGAAGTGTTATTATATCACCAAAGGCACATGCTTGTGCCATTGGTTCAGTAACTTCAGTAATACATCTATATGTTTAATATACGACTAAACAACGATTTAGCTTATTATCGAAACAACATAAAAATCTAGTCAGAAGGCTGTAAACACGTACCATCCCATTACTTTTGCATCACATATTTGCACAGACAGAATCGGAGAGGTAGGATGTGTAAAGAAAAAAGAAATTGAAAAAATATGCATGTGTCTAAAGTCAACTAAAGCAGTAATGATAAGCATATCATAAACTTGTGCATTTTCCAAACAATAATACATACTGTTGTTTGAGTGTTTGCCTGTTGGTCCGTTTCGATTGTAATTGTATTGTATTAAACCATTTAAGCAAATATAATTTTGTTGACTTCTATGCTCTCTTTTAAGTAACTGACAGTCTTATCTGAACTTAACGTACAATTATAATACTTTTAATAGCAATAAAGTTCATTAGAAACTTAAAGTCGACGAAAAAGCAATTAAATTTATGTGATGTTTTTATGAATTGTTTTTCGCTTAATGACTGGCTTTCTTAAATAAATAAATTCATTTGTTAACTTACATCAAGTTCTTCTTTAGCTTCCTCGAATCTTTTATGATCTGCACAATCCACCATGAAAATGATACCATCAACAGCTGGATAATAGTCCCTCCATACTCTTCTAACTAAAATAAATTAAAATCATTTCAACCCTAAACAATATTTATGATAAATATCAAATTCAAGTTGGATCAAAATTACCCCTTATGGTTCAATGTCGATTTTCTCTTTCCATTCAAAGCAACTGACCGGTCATAAAAGTTTAGAAAACGAGAAGTAGGAGAAAAGAAAATGTTCGCAAAGTGTATTTCTGTCCTCAACATTAGTTCATAAACTGAATTACAAATATTACACATATTCATCATATAAAGGATTCACAACGATAATGATCAGTAACTCTTTTTAGGAAAGAAAATACTCTAAATTATCACTGTCACCATCGTACTTTTATGTTTTCATAAATTTCGTTCTCAGAGAAAACGCGCTGGTCCTAACGGAACACCGTAGTTTTTCGGGAGGGCCGAAAAGTTGCGATTGAAAATTGAGGCATAGGTACCAGGTCAGTTTTTTTTCCGCTAACCATGTACAATAAATCAATTCTAACCTTGTGGATGTCCTCCCAGGTCATATGCTGTAAATCTAATTAAGCCCATGTCCATTTCTTGTGATGCTTGAAAAAGAAAACGTTTGAAGTAGTAAACACTTGCCTAAAAAATTTGCAATTTGAATCATTTTCATAATATGAAATACGAGTAGCTCTTCAAGATTGAACCACGGTTAATTATCTGTAAGTGTTTAAGGCAAAATGCCAGCCAGAATCTTCTTTTAATATAAGTATTTTCAGCTGCAGAATCTACAATTACTTTAAAGAAAACATTCGCTTTAGTTAGTTTTACATATCTTTTGCCTCCAAAATTATTTTTATACAAAATGACATTGCACACGAACAATGACACTTACATCCTCTTGGTGTTGGAGCATGCTGTACAACTCTACCAGTAGACAACATTGTCAACAAAGTCGATTTGCCAGCGTTATCCAGACCTACTATCAACAACTTTGCATGTTTCTTGAATCCTGAAACAAAAGTCACAAAGATAAAAGAACCGAAATTGTATAGTGCGTTCCTTATTGACATTGCCTTTTATATAAAAATATGACAATAAACATCTGCAAAGGTATACAGCGTTCCAGGAATGCAGCTCGTACGGCATAAAGTCAACACACCCTACGTAGATTACTGCATGGGATCAATAAAGTGCTCAGTAAAAATAGAGAAGATAACAATCCCTAAAGAACGTCCAAAACGGCAAAATTGAAAATGTTGCAGGCTCGGTTTAATTATGCCTGTTTATAGACGTCCAGGAACATGCCAGCTACAATTTAAGCATCAGTTTATTAGTAAACAGAATTCAATATTCAACTGAATATTTTTAATGCACTTTTACTAAATATTACCACGGATTTGTAATATAAATCCGTGATATTACTAATCAAGTCTGAATATAATTTTAACTAGAAAAATATGTGTAATTGATTTTTAAAGAAATTTGTGGTCTAACACCAATTATAGGTAGGTCGTGGTCAGCTTGACAAGTGGGTGCCCTGGGGAATTTAAATTATTGCACAAACAAGGAACAGTCAACCGTTTTAGTCGCTTTAATGTCTAACGATAAACATATATTTTTGCTAATGAGTTTATAAATATCATTTTGAGCTACATGTATGTGAGATTCGCGGATAAAAAATATGCGTTTCATTTTTCAGTTGATAAACATGGTGATATTGACATTGTTCCTCGGATAAACCTTCTTTAAAGCTTACTGTAATAATGGTCGAGTAAGTATAATATTATTACACTATCTGTAAAATAAAATGTAGTGCATGCGTTTTTAATGTGCTTGAAGTCTACGTAAATCGCAACTTTCTTTCATACATCCGCATAGCTAGATAATTCGGGGTAAACTAGATTATTGTCCTGTTTGTATGTATTTTGTAATGTACTCTTTGTTATTTTAATTATACTATTTAATCTTCAATGCAATATACCTATGAACCGTGTTTCAAATATGGCATTGGACCTTATATATAAAATGACCATGTTATTCCGATTCAGATTTTCAAAATTACAGTCATTTCATTAAGACTTAGTTGCTTAATTACAGACAAAACATTTGTGTTAAATACAACATCAAATTAGTATTATTTTTACAATAGGTTTACCTCTTACATTTGGTTTGCTATTTCTAATCATGGTCATGCAACTACATAGTTAGGTTAAGAAGCAGACGCTTGTTTTGGTTGAGTCTATTATGTTTTTTTTAGGGGGTGAGTTGTCATACACAAATTTACAATTTGTATGCATTTATTTTTTTCCAATGATTGTTATTATCTTAAATGCTTCTGGGATTGTTGTTTTATCAATTCATTTGTAAATAAGATTGTTATATGTCTATAAACGGAATAATTTTAATGAACACGAAATTAGTTCACACCTTTATGTGTATTGATAACGTGATGGTTTAAGCCAATGAAAACACATCAATATTATTACAATCAGGCAGAGAAAAAGTTTGCAAGAGTAAATCGATAATCTTTATGTAGCAAACAAACTTTAAATTGCAAGTATTTTTTCATATCTTTTCGGCAGGATAAACTGTCCGAGGAGGGCCAGGCATTTTCGTATCGTAAAATGGCTGCCATTTACAGTATCAAGTGATTATCCCAAGCACCACCGCGACTTAGCGCGGGAATTATAAATATAGCTAACCTCGGCTGGAAAATACCTTTTTTCTTATTTTATTGTAATAAATATTTACAAACTGTGTCTTTCGGGATTTTTTTTATCAATATATAACCAATAATGATGTTTATATGAATAAATAATCATATCTCAAAGCTGCGACTGTGACTTACAATGAAATTCTACCTTACCAATTCTACCAAAAAGTCTTCACAAAAAGTAGAATCTAGTATGCAATCGTACCTATATTATTTATTTTACAACATCGTAGCATTGCTGATAAGATTAAAGATGCCAACATTAAATTCTTTAGTTGAGTTGAGTTGAGTTTAAATTAGTTTAGTTTAAACATATTTTATTCCTTTCATTGTTTTTTACAAGGTTTACAATGCAAATATAAAAAAAAGAGTATAAAAATACATTTTTGAAAGAATTTTAAAGGGTTGGACCACAAGTTCATAATTAAACATTAGTAATTCGGTCCGTCCCTGATACGAATCTAAATTAATATTGATACTATACATTACATTAAAATGGCAGTGAAGAATTTAACAAAGTTTTTTAGGAATAATAAATATTAGGTATTTGAACATTGAACTCAAATATCTATATATGTTACTATTGAAACATATAAATTTGATTTAGAAAGTAACAGAGATTGTAGAAACATCATTAGGCTGTTCTATTATAAGGCAAAGATCGCAATATATATTTTTATTTCTATAAAAAAGATATATATAAATATACAATGTATCTCATGGAGAGTTTTACAAAAAAATATAGTTACATCAGGTATACTTGTACATTAATTAATATACGTACCTGGTTACATATAGATCTAATAAGAAAAAAAACTTACCAAAGTATGCCAACAGAGTTCTGATCCAGTTGAAAAAGAACATTTTATTTACAGTACTTTAATATCCAAAATCAGTTACACTTGTCAGAGTAAATTTAAACCATTATACGCTATATTCTCTTTATATAGTATAAATGTGGCACCGATTCATAAATGACGATGGTACAAACACGATAATTTATTCGTGCAGTAACTTACACGTCATTTTTAATTAAGAGTGATCTCCCTTGTGTTTACATATTGTCATGCCTATTTCTAGAAAAAACGTGTTGCATTAACAAGATGTTGTTGCCTTTGACTGAATATTTAGAATAATATATATTTGTTTGTTTCCCATTGGTTTCAAGTCTTGAAATATCAGAAATAGTGTGTAAGACGAAATGTACAACTGTAGTAATGTTCGGATAAATACGCTTTGCTGGCAATAAGTCAATAAAATAGTTGTTTAACTTTGGGTAACCGAGTGTTATGAAGTATTTATACTCACATGTATTTATCAACTGACAGACCAGAAAAAGTGATTGCAAAGGTCGGTCCAATTGGTCATATTTTGATTCTATTTCATACAATCTTTTATTAAATTTGATACAGTATGTACAGCTCAAGTGATTCTTGCAGCCTTTCCATTTTGTCATCGCACACATATTTAACCGCGAGTGTAAAATCACAGGGGACATACTATGTTAAGTCACAGTGGCAAAACACCGCAGACTGGTTTAAAAAATCCCGGCAATCCCAGTGGAAAATCACAGAGATTGGCCGTGATAAATATCACATATAATTATAAATGATTATGTTCATGTACTGGTTGGGGACCACCAAAACCGGACAACCACCAAACCCGGACGGCCCCGAAAATGCTAAATTTAGTATTTTCTTTGTTCAGTGGTTGTCAGTCACTTTTTTATAGGCAATAAGTGCATGTTTCTTTCAAAATTAAGTAAATGAATTTATTTCAACCTCCGTAAATGGTAATATTTTAATGTCTATTTCAAGAATGTTAACGTTGAAATTCGGGGGTCAAGAAAGCAATGTCTGACCTCATATACCAGCTATAATCATTTGCAAAGTGAATAATAGAATATTCAAAACTTCAGCATTTATTGCTGACATATTGTATATCATGTTACAAATCAAAAATCAAAACACCCAGGCTTTTATCTGAATTAAATCACATCATGTACATATCTGTCCGGACACATGGTACTGTAGTGTAGACAATTTAGGTAATTTTGATACCCTCCTTGTTGAGCCTCAGAGATAATTGTCAATAAAATCAGAAATAAACAAACTAGTTTATTAGTTAGGAGAAGAACCTAGCTGAACTGTGTCAAATTTTTTGGTCTCTAGGTTAAAAATTATGAAATCTGTACGGAAAAATGTTCCAAAAGTGTCCGGTTGATGGTCTCCGACCAGTACATGTACAATGTTGTCAATGCAGTCTTGTTAGAATAAAATCCATAACACTTATCTACTTTGTTAATAACAGCCCTTACACCATCTGTATTTGTGTAAGATTTGGTAGTTTTTAAGTTCCATTTGCATAAAAAATGTAAAAAAATACATGTACATGTATAATATCACAATCAAAATGCACTTATGATTAATAATACAGTGTATGTCAATAAATGACATGATAATTATCCAGCATTTTTTTTTGCATTTTTGAGCAATAGTTAAACATGTAAAATCGTTACTTGACAAAAAAAGATGAGTTTTTTTTCCTGATATATAAAAAAGGATAGAAGTCAATGGAGTGTTGTCACTTCTTTGATGATTTGGCAGGTGTGTAAACATCAAAGATTGACATATTCTTTTGAAGAGATGACTAGTCATTTGTCAGAGGTCATCTCGTCTATAAATTTTGTGTATATTATTTAACAAAAGAAACATGTTTTAAAACGTGTCCAAATATCTGCCATTCAGGAGACAAATGTTGCGTGTGTTATTTTTTACAGATGCAAGTACATGTAAATACGTGTTATAAATGTTGTTGTAAATGGCTATGGCAAAATGTCCCTGCAATATTTCACAGTGAGTCACATGACAGTGACAATCCACCCGTAAAAAAATCGCAGGAATTGGCGGACTTTTGAAAAATTGTTAAAACTGTACTGTACATGTATAATAGAGAAAGGCTATATTTTAATTTAAATGTCAGATGTTTCTATATTTAACAACTCTTTTTTATCATTTTTAGCTCGACTTTTCTATGAAAAGGGGAGCTATCCTACTCGCCCCGGCGTCGGCGTCGGCGTCACACCTTGGTTAAGTTTTTCGTACCACCCCACTTTATTTCAGAAGTATTACAAGTATGGCTTTGAAACTTACCATACTTGTTCACCATCATAACCTCCATCTACAGACAAGAGTACATAACTCTGTCAAGGTTTTTGACAGAATTATGGCCCTTTTTTGACTTAGAAAGTGTATTGAGCTTGGTTAAGTTTTTTGTACCACCTCACTTTATTTCAAAACCATTGGAGGTATTGCTTTGAAACTGACCATACTTGTTTACCATCACGACCTTCATCAACAGACAAGAGGACATAACTCTGTCAAGGTTTTTGACAGAATTATGCCCCTTTTTGACTTAGAAAATACATTGAATATGGGTAAAATCCACTTATTGCCTTAACCCTTTGAGATATTGCTTTGAAACTTTTAATGCTATTTCACATCATTACCCCCATCTGTACGCAAGAGAAGGTAACTCTGTCAAGGATTTGTTTTAAAAATTAAGGCCTTTTATCGATTTAGAATCTTGGTTAAGTTTTTAGTACCAGTCCACTTTTTGACTGAACTGTTTGAGATATTAATTTGAAAGTTGGAATACTTGTTTACAATCATGATTCCCAAACATGTCCAGGAGAAGGTAATTCTGTCAAAGATTTTATTTGAATTATGGCCCTTAACTGTCAATGTTTTGACTTAAACATTTCAAACTTTGCTGCAGTGTTCAAGGGTATCACACAATTCAGTAAAATAATTCTTCACTAAATATCTTAATGCTCATGGCCATTGTTCACTTTAAAAATACAGAGATTCTTGTATTGCCTTTTACTGCAAAAACTTTTTTTATTGGCAAGCAATAAAAAAGTCGAGCGCGCTGTCTTACGGACAGCTCTTGTTGTGTCGCCTTGAAAAGGTGACATATAGGGGTTACTTTTGTCGGCGGTGTCGGCGGCGGCGGCGTCTGTGTCGGCGTCGGCGTCCGCTAAAGCTTGTCCGGAGCATAACTCAGTCACTATAAGTCTGATTGACTTCAAACTTGGTATGCATGCTTCTTTCAATAACCCGAAGTGCAGTGCACAAGGACCGGTACTCTGCAGTTCTTATTTTTTGAGTTTATTGCCCTTTTGTTAATTTTCATACTTTAATTTTGTCCGGGCCATTTCTCTTCAACTAAAAAAGCTATGGACTTGAAACTTCATAGGATGATAGATCTCATTAAGAAGAAATGCAGTGCACAAGAACCAGTACTCTGCACTTCCTAATTTTGAGTTATTGCCCTTTGTTAATTTTCATACTTTATTTTTGTCCGGGCCATTTCTCCTAATGTATAAAAGCCATGGACTTGAAACTTCATAGGATGATAGATCTCATTAAGAAGAAGTGCAGTGCACAAGAACTGGTACTCTGCATTTCTTATTTTTTGAGTTATTGCCCTTTGTTATTTTCATACTTAATTTTGTCCAGGCCATTTCTCTGAAAGTATAAAAATTATGGACTTGAAACTTCATAGGATGATAGATCTCATTAAAAAGAAGTGCAGTGCATAAGAACTGATACTCAGCATTTCTTACTTTTGAGTTATTGCCCTTTGTTGCTTTTCTTACTTTATTTTTGTCCTGGTCATTTTTCCTCAAGTATGAAAGCTATGGACTTGAAACATCATAGAATGATAGATCTTATTGATAAGAAGTGCAGTGCACAGAAACTGCTGCTCTGCACTTATTATTTTTTTAGTTATTGCCCTTTAAGAAGTGCAGTGCACAAGAACTGGTACTCTGCATTTCTTATTTTTTGAGTTATTGCCCTTTGTTTATTTTCATACTTAATTTTTGTCCAGGCCATTTCTCTGAAAGTATAAAAATTATGGACTTGAAACTTCATAGGATGATAGATCTCATTAAAAAGAAGTGCAGTGCATAAGAACTGATACTCAGCATTTCTTACTTTTGAGTTATTGCCCTTTGTTGCTTTTCTTACTTTATTTTTGTCCTGGTCATTTTTCCTCAAGTATGAAAGCTATGGACTTGAAACATCATAGAATGATAGATCTTATTGATAAGAAGTGCAGTGCACAGAAACTGCTGCTCTGCACTTATTATTTTTTTAGTTATTGCCCTTTAAGAAGTGCAGTGCACAAGAACTGGTACTCTGCATTTCTTATTTTTTGAGTTATTGCCCTTTGTTTATTTTCATACTTAATTTTTGTCCAGGCCATTTCTCTGAAAGTATAAAAATTATGGACTTGAAAAAACTTCATAGGATGATAGATCTCATTAAAAAGAAGTGCAGTGCATAAGAACTGATACTCAGCATTTCTTACTTTTGAGTTATTGCCCTTTGTTGCTTTTCTTACTTTTTTTTGTCCTGGTCATTTTTCCTTCAAGTATGAAAGCTATGGACTTGAAACATCATAGAATGATAGATCTTATTGATAAGAAGTGCAGTGCACAGAAACTGCTGCTCTGCACTTATTATTTTTTTAGTTATTGCCCTTTGTTATTTTTCATATTTCATTTTTCTCCTGGCCATTTCCCCTAAACTACATTGTTCACAAGGCGACACATCCGACTCGCGGAGTTCTAGTTAAAGTAATATTGTTGTTTTTTGATAATTTGAATGATGTCTGATGCCAATGCAAATTTAACTTTTATTCTTGAATATTGTTTCAGATGTCTGCACCTGTTTTGGTAGGAGCAATGTTTCTGGTGATATTTATACTGATGCAATTGTATCGTAGATACCGCCGAATGCACTATGATGTTCTTGTCCCTGACATCAGCAAAGGTCATCGATGGGTCATGATGGATCTGTTTAATGAAGCAACATATTGTAACATTAAAAACATTCCAATCAAACATGGAGCAAAATGTGACACATGCGGGATCTGTGTTGAAGATGAAAACATGAAGCAAGCAAATAAAACCCTCCCGTGTAAACCCTCTTCTGTGAAAGGTGATGGAACACCACATCAGTGGGTGAAAGGAAATCTACCAGAATGTAGTATGTGCTATGCTTGCGGCCAAGAATGCGGAACTCTGCCACAAATCTGTGATAGAAGATGTGTTTGGTGTAAACGAACACTGCATGATTATTGTACATATGATGATATGACGTGTGATTTTGGAAAATTTAGACAAATTATTGTACCGCCACATTGTGTTGAATTGAAAAGAGTTGGAATTAAAGGAAGGAGACATTTGATAGTATCAAAAGCAAGACATCCACTGTTTGAAAATTGGAGACCGTTAATTGTACTAGGAAATAGGAAAAGTGGTAATAATGAGGGGGAAATTATGCTTTGTGCATTTAGAGATATTTTAAATCCAGCACAGGTGAGTCACAGTGTACGTATGATTTGAAAAAGTGAAATGTTAAATAGTTGTAGGCGAGACTGTATATCTTAGTATGGGACATAAGAAGGAAACTTTCTTCTTAACTTATATATATATATTAAATAAATTGACCTTTTTTTCATATTTAGTGGTTGCTATTGTTAAATTATTTTAGTATAAAAATCATATGCATCAGTTTTCACTTTCATTTTTTTACAAAAATACTAAATTAAATACATTGACATCAGATGTTTATTATAAGGTTTACCCTACCCATTTTTAGGATTCAGTGAATCATGTTAGAACATTAACCACAGTAGAAACATAATTTAAGTGATAAATTTTAATTTTTTGGTGTCATATTCTAAAGACATTCTTTTCTTTTAAATAATAATTGCGCTATATTGCAGGATAAGGAACTTTATTGCTTACTGTTTGATGTTAATTACCATGCTGTAGAAAGGAAGAACAATTATATAAAAAACACTTTCTATTATTGTAAACTATTTAAAAAAATCCCAATAATTATTACAATTATTAAATAATAATGTCTTGTTTGTAGGTGATAGATTTACATAACATGCAGCCGGAGAATGCTCTAGAATGGTGCCATCTATTACCTGATGTTGTATTTCGTGTTCTTGTGTGCGGTGGGGATGGATCTGTAGGCTGGGTGCTAAATGCAATAGAGAATCTCAAACTGAAGGTAACCAAAATACGATGTCTTTTTATGGCAGGAAATAAGAGCATTAAATTTTGTTATAGATGCAAGCAAGCTGTTTATTGTCTTGTATGTCTGCTACTTGTTCAGTGGAGTTCATATTTTCAGAAGTACCCCTGGAGTGGGCAAGAAGAAAGACAAAAGATTTAAATGTTTATTAACATACTTATTAATTGTTTAAGTTAACAAAACGTGGACTTTGCTACCAAGCATTTTTAGCTGTATATTTTGGAATCACTGGTATGGTTTGTACTGTCTACAAAAAACCTTTGAAACCTTCTATGTTAAGTTTGCAACTAAAACTAAATACAATTATTTTTATTGACCAGTAAAAGTTACAATGTGGCTTTTTAATATTACATGAAACGACCAGTGTCCCTGTTGAATCAAAGCAAATAAGAAGAAATTGATAATAATTAAAATTATCAGCGGAATTGTTATTAAAACATAGTTCATCCTTCAGAAGTTAGTATTCACCTCAGAAGTTAGTATTCACCTCAGAGGTTAGTATTCATGCTTTTAGAAAATATGACAATCACAAGTGATATCAACATTGATAATGGACATTTCCTGAAAAATTGGAAGCTGGACTAGTCCATTACAGACATTATACAGAATAAGGATTAGTGAAGACATAGTGAGCGTCAGAATTCTTTTGATATATTTCAGACTCCTCCAGAAGTTGGTATATTGCCATTAGGTACAGGGAATGACCTTGCTCGTGTCCTTGGCTGGGGTGAAGGTCATGATACAGATGCTGATATTAATGAAGTGGTGCACCAGATTATTGCAGCAACGCCTGTACAGTTAGATAGGTAACTTCTTGACAATGTGTTCTTATTTTTTTGATTCGTATTAATCATTTTAAGAAAGAATACTAACTAAATATCCTGAATAGCAAGCAGTGCAGATCATGAGTGTATGACACAGATGTGCCAGCTGATCTTGGTATGCACTGGTCATTTCTGAGGTTTAATGTGCCTTCATATTATTAACATAAAAGTACATGTACTGTTAGCAACTTAAGTTTTAAAGCTGCATGCCTCCAGATTAGCCAAACTATTTCAAGAAAATCAAACTTTAGAAAGATATTTTTAAGAAAAGTAAATAAATTTAAGATTCAAGTAATGATTTACATGTTATGAGCAATTATTGACTGATTTACATACATTGTCTCCTTTTTATAATTTATGAGGATTGTAAGTGCCTTTTGCAATGTGTAGATTACTAACTTTATTCACTTCAAAATGTTAAACTTTCAAATAAACTTTAAAAATTTTCATGAAAACTAGCATGAATCTGGTATACTGCTTTAAACACATTTGTGTATGAAATTGTGTTTTCTATTATTCATTGTTATTTCTTCCATGATTGTATCTATTTATACAACAATTTCAGATGGAAGATAACAATAAATCACAAGAAACATTTAGGAATATCTAGACCTAAAAAGGTAAGTGTTATATCCATATTTCTGTTTTTCAATTATAGTCTTTCATTCACCAACAAAGAACCATAATTGTAGCAATTTAGCAATTTTGACTGATTTACTCCCCTTTGTTAATAATTTCTTAAGGATTATAGTAATAATGCAGACTGAGCATTACTGATACTACCCATCTATTAATAGATTCATTATCATCATATGTTAGTCATGACTGTTAATTTCTCTTTGCAAATTGAATTATCTAACGTCTTTATTAGCTGGTCATCTGCAGGGGTTTACGGGAGACACAAGTCAACACAACAAATTGTTTCCTCCATGATATTTTCTTTGGTGATTAACATGTTTCAACTGAGTAAAATTCCAGAGCTATATTTAACTGGAGAGGAAGCTATGATATCAGACACTTAAAATCTGTATCAATGATTTATAATCACGCAAGTTCACATTTTTGTGAGACTTTCCGAGACCTCGTTTGACATGAGAAATTTTACCTATAACAGATACTTGTGTACGCCACCATGTTTTTTGAAAATTGTAATGGTTTTCAAAAAAAGAAGTTGCAAAAATGTATAAAAAAAGCAATAAAGATTAAGAAGATGTAAATTATTCTCTGTAATGGATAAAAATATAAACAAATTCTGTTGTATAAAACAAGCTGAAATTAATCCACTCCAAGGGCCAGTGAATCGCAAAAGATTGTGAGCCAGGATTTGAAAATTTTCTATTTTTAGAGCTTCTAATCCCTCTGTTATAAAAAACTCTGGTAAAATGTAAACATATTCTTAAGTTCAGAGAAGTTTCTAAATGCAAAGTTTGTAAGAAACTATATTTATATATATAGTTAAGTTTAATGGCTACAATTCATCCGAGTTATTTATAAAGAAAGACAACTGCTAATGGAATGTGAAAAAGTATTAAATAAGACTACTCTCCCTTTAACAGAAAAAAACCCAACAAAACAGTTGAATATTTGATAAAGTGAAGTGGTGTACTGCTGTGAATTAATCATCCTGTTTCATTATTTAATATTGCACTTATTGTTTGTTTCTTATTTGTTGTTTAATGTTTTACATCATTACGCTGCAGGAACAGCTGTTCTTGATGATAGGCTGTTCTATTTTTTGAGAAAAAAGCACAAGTGTCTTGGTGCTTAAAAATATCAAATGAGGGGGTGGGAGAAATTCTAGAAATTAAAAGATAATATGGAAATGAGATTAATTTAAGACGAAATGCAATAAATGCATGTGCAACAAAAGATATGTTGTTGTTTTTGGCGTGTACCATTTCAGACTTGATAAGTTGTTTTGTAGTTGTTTCAGCAGATTTTAATAAAAAAAAGTTATGTGTACATATGACTTGTTTGATCTGACAATTTATGTTTATTTGTGGCTGCTGAATTGCCTGATTTGAAGTGACCAACATGTATCACTGTTCAAATTCTAGATAAAAAAAAACAAACATCTTTTATGCATATATACAATATTTCATTAAAGCATTTCTACTTATACTTGCTTTTATAATTGTTTTTCTTTAATTTCTTATGTTTAAAGTAAATAATTTTCTCTTTAATTTCTTATGTTAAGAGATAAAGCTTTACATGCATATCAAAACTCTTATGTCAAATCAAATCGTTAATGCAGGCATTTTTCTTTTTCTTTTTTTTTTGGGGGGGGGGGGGGGGGGGGGGGGGAATGGTGTCCTGGGATGAGGGGGAAGGTGGTATAGCAGTTACTTTGCATTTCAGGGTTAGAATTTAGCAAGATTTTCTACTTGCAGATTTTTGCAAGTGATCAAATGTTTAACTGGCAATATGTGGTAGTCAACTGACATTTCCATGATCACGTATCTTATTATTATTATTGTTATAATAACAGTGATTTTTCTACTTATTTAACAGACTCCGAAAAAAGGCCTCTTCCCAATTGATATTTTCTTTAAAATCATGCAGTTTGCCCAAAAATCTGAACTTGAACCAGATTTTTTACTTTTCAAATCAGCAATTTTAGTGATATTTTTCCCCAAAATCAAGAGGCTAAGGCCTCTTCCCAATTAAGTGAGAAAAATCACAGAATAATACACAATGACAATGTATTTTGAACATCTGGTATGACAAAAGATAATAAACTTGAATGTCTATTGAATATCAGAAACATCTTTATCACTGGTTAACACAGATGTCTTCTTGTAACGAAACAAAAACATTTCAACACATTGATTTATAAATAATAAACAATTGTTTAGGGATCAGAATAGATATACCAGAGGAACACCCACTGGTGACAACGTGCAGTTAAAAACTTGTTCATGTTATGTAATTTCTTAGGACCTTCATTAATTATCACATATTTTGTACTTGATTACACCAACACCCCGAAAACTTAGAGGTACTGATCTACTTTAAATAAATATATATTTCAGCTTAAAAGTAAACACTTTACAGAGGAGTGCTACGCATTTACAATGGACCCTGATTACATCTTGGATGCTCTAACCAATAGTGTTTGGCTGTTATAAATAGTCCATCAAAATATAATCACAGAAAAAATAGAGCAACCAAAAATTGGTTTTTAAGTTTTTTAAGGTAAACTTCATCAATTACTGCATCTGACACAGTCAACATCATCAGTTTCTGCAGTGGGCAGTTGCCAAACATCATCATCAGCCCAGAAGATAACAATTATGTAACGCCCAAAAGGAACAGTCACTTGCAAATAAATGCCAGCTAGAGTAATTTTTACTGGCATTATTAGATTTTAACTGGCATTTTGCCAGTATGCCAGCTTAAATTCGAACCCTGCATTTGTCTCAATAATTATTGACCAGTGTTTAGAATCTTTACCACTTGATTCAGTTGTAGACCAAGTTTGATCCTTGGTCAGTGAAAAGTTTAGAAATACCTTTTTTTGGCAAATTTGTTTGAAAATTGTTTATGTACATGTATAACTCTGCACTCACTCTACTTTTCTTGTCAATGTAAAAATGTTAGATTTAACAAAAAGAGAAAAGTGTCATATTTGATAAGGAATGTCATTATTTGTATGCATTAACAATTTTAATGATGTTTTGTTTTATTTCACAAATATGATGTGACAGTGTAAGAGTTTCCTCCCAAGCATGAGTCACAAATTCTGTAATACATACTGTAGACTGGAATAGAATGATTTTAAATGTTCTGATTTTGAAATTAGGCCTATACAAAGCTAATTGCCTTAATATATTTTCTGATTTTTCTTCTGTTTATCAATATTTTCAACCCAGGTGTTATTTGTTCATTTATTTTTTTTGTGCAACTCTGCCTGACGAAGTAAATGTCTTCTCAAGTGAATTTGGAAGTTTTCATGTTACCATTTAAATACCATAAAATTAGTGCATTCAGATAACTGCTGTTTCACTTTCATCATTTGCCTATTATGAAAACCATCCAGTGCGAAATTGTTTCATATGAGACAATTTTCAATCCTCCTAAAATGTGGCAGACGGGTTGCCTTTAAGGGTTGAGGCATCAGAATTGCAGCCACCATTTATCCCTGTGTGATCATAAGAGACAACTAAATGGGTTTGAATGACTGGAGTCTATCCATCTCTTAGCTCCAGCAGGTGAAGTGGTTTTGACCCAATGTGTTGCTTTAAGTTTGTAACACCAGAGGTTAGCCAAAATCATATGTCTTGTTTCAGCGCCATATGACCTAAAGTGTGTTGGTGCGCTGTCAAACAAGACAAAACAAACATTTTTCCATCATGAATTGACTTTTAACAAAATTTGAAATTTCCCTTTTCTCAGAATGCCAAGTTCATTGCACCTATTCCTAATCAAAGGCATTTGGACAGACAACTACCATTTTGCTGAAGAAGAATAAACACATGTAATGTATTATTTTACCAATATTTGATTTATATTTTTCAGGAGATGGTAATGAACAACTATTTGTCTATAGGCGTTGATGCTTTGGTCACTTTAAACTTCCACAAGTCACGGCAGTCATGGCCCTGGTTATTTGCTAACAGGCTAATCAACAAGGTATGTCACTAACAGCTAGTGTAATTAAACAAGTTACGCAAAAAATATTTTGCCTCATTTTTGTAAGTTTCATAATTCAGCCCTTGAATAAATTTTTACGTTAAAGCTGCACGCCTCCAGATGAGCCAAAATATTTCAAGAAAATCAAACTTTACAAATATGTACGATTTTGAGAAAACTCCCTTTGTTCACAATATTATACTTTTAAATACATTTTCAAAATTATCATAAAAATAAACATGAATCTGGAGGCATTCCTCTTTAAGCAGAGAGTACCTGAAATAGGGCTTTCCAGTCTTCCCAGCCAATTGTATGTTCATTCCTCTATGGCAGCTCTCAGCGCCCAGGATCCTACATTTAGACAAACTCTTTGCCTTTTTCTCATACCTGTTTACATTAGATGTTTTTCTAATCAGATTTTTTACAGTGTTTATCTTGTAAATAATATAATCTTGAAAGAAAGAGAAAAGATTTTGTTGTGGCGACAGTGTTACACGCCCATGATTGACAGCCAGGTATGTTTTCCTTGTAAATCATGTGTTAACCTGCGGCCATCATGTGTGATTCGCAGGGATTTTCTAAGTGATTCTTGTATTCTTATGTTTTTAACATAACAATTAGATGTATGAATGTTAAAAAAACAGATGTTCCGAGTGCTAATGATTATTATTGAAAATCATTAAAAGAAAACGTTAAAGTGATTACATACCTATATAACTATATAACTGTAATGGTAGGTATTGAGGGTTGTTTTAATGCATTGATGTTGTAATTAAATGTAGCTATTAAATGAAGCTGTTGAAGAAAAGTGATAAATTTTCAATTGTAACTAAAATGTGCCAATTAAGTTATAACTTTTGATGTGTTTTTCCGTAGGTTAATAGAACATCATAGTGCTTAAGATCTTAATAAATTAACAATCAACTTTTAGGTATGAAAGTGTAGCTTGACTGTGGCCAAATTATATTTGAATGCAAAAGAATAGGATACTCATATACTATCACAGATACATTTAAATGAATTAAATATCACTGTAAATAAAAATGTTCAATGTATATGATAATTTCATGGAAATAATTTTGCATTTTAAAAGCAGCATGCCACCAGATGAATGCTAATTTTCATGAAAAATTTGAAAATATATGTAAAAGTAAAATATAATAAAGTTAACAAAGAAAGTAATTTACATGTTGCAAACAACACTTACAATCCACATAAATTACCAAAAAAAAAATAAAAATATGCAAAAGTGTTAGTAACACAGTAGAAATATGTAGATAAATACTGCAAAGTCAAACATTTTTTATAGGTATCAACAAATTGGAACTTGGAATACTTGCTTATCATGACAAAATGCTGTTAAGACAAGGGGCATTGTTCTGATGTAATTTTGCTATAATTTTGAAGTTATGCCCCTTCTTTACTTAATTTCTTTTTTTGTGTGTGTTCTAATTTGTGTAATCAATCATTAAAATCTATATCCAGTTATTTCTGACACTGTCCCAGAGCTTCACAGAGTCATTTTTATACGCCCGTTTGAAAAACGGGACGTATTATGGGAACGCCCCTGGCGGGCGGGTGGGCGGCGGCGTCCAATTTTGTCCGGAGCATATCTCCTACATGTATGGAGGGATTTTAATGAAACTTCATAGAAATGTTCACCACTATGAGGAGCAGTGTCGCGCACATAAACCAGGTCTCTAGGTCAAAGGTCAAGGTCACACTTAGAGCTCATTGAATAATGCTTGTCCGGAGCAAAACTTCCACATGTATAGAGGGATTTCAATATTACTTGGCACAAATGTTCACCATTGTGAGGCGGAGTGTCGCGCGCAAGATTCAGGTCCTTGCGGCCAAGGTCAAGGTCACACATAGAGGTCAAAGTTCAGATAAAAATATGAAGATGTGTATATGGAGCATTTAGTCATCATTTATTGAGGGATTGTAACACAAATGGTCATTATCAAGACTATGGCTGTGATACATATAATTTAGGTCAATATATACAAGGTCAAGGTCACTAAAGATGATGAAATATCCAGATTTTGCCAATTTTGTCCGGAGCATATCTCCTACATGTATGGAGGGATTTTAATGAAACTTCATAGAAATGTTCACCACTATGAGGAGCAGTGTCGCGCACATAAACCAGGTCTCTAGGTCAAAGGTCAAGGTCACACTTAGAGCTCATTGAAAAATGCTTGTCCGGAGCAACACTTCCACATGTATAGAGGGATTTCAATATTACTTGGCACAAATGTTCACCATTGTGAGGCGGAGTGTCGCGCGCAAGATTCAGGTCCTTGCGGCCAAGGTCAAGGTCACACATAGAGGTCAAAGTTCAGATAAAAATATGAAGATGTGTATATGGAGCATTTAGTCATCATTTATTGAGGGATTGTAACACAAATGGTCATTATCAAGACTATGGCTGTGATACATATAATTTAGGTCAATATATACAAGGTCAAGGTCACTAAAGATGATGAAATATCCAGATTTTGTCCGGAGCATATCTCCTACACGCATGGAGGGATTTTAATGAAATTTCATAGAAATGTTCACCATTATGAGAAGCCATGTCACGCACATGAACTAGGTCTCTAGGTCAAAGGTCAAGGTCACACTTAGAGCTCATTGAAAAATGCTTGTCCGGAGCAAAACTTCCACATGCATAGAGGGATTTCAATATAACTTGGCACAAATGTTCACCATTGTGAGGCGGAGTGTCGCGCACAAAATTCAGGTCCCTGCAGCCAAGGTCAAGGTCACACATAGAGGTCAAAGTTTAGATAAAAATATGAAGATGTGTATAGGGACGATTTAATCATCATTTATTGAGAGATTGTAACACAAATGGTCATTATCATGACTACGGCTGTGACACATGTACTTTAGGTCAATATATGCAAGGTCAAGGTCACTAAAGATGGTGAAATATCCAGATTTTGTCTGGAGCATATCTCCTACATGTATGGAAGAATTTTTATAATACTTTATGGAAATGTTCACCACCATGATATGTATTGCTCCATGCATGATCCAGGTCTCCAGGTCAAAGGTCAAGGTCACACTTGGAGCTCATTGAAAAACGCTTGTCCGGAGCAAAACTTCTACATTCATAGGGGGATTTCAATATAACTTGGCACAAATGTTCACCATTGTGAGGCTGAGTGTCGCACGCAAAATTCAGATCCCTGCGACCAAAGTCAAGGTTACACATAGAGGTCAAAGTTCAGATAAAAATTTGAAGATGTGTATAGGGACCATTTAGTCATCATTTATTGATGGATTGTAGCACAAATGGTAACTATCATGACTACAGGTGTGACACATTTAATTTAGGTTAATATTTGCAAGGTCAAGGTCACTAAAGATGGTGAAATATCCAGATTTTGTCTGGAGCATATTTTCTACATGCATGGAGGAATTTTAATGTTACTTTATAGAATTGTTCACCACCATGAGACGTAGCGCCCTGCACATGAACCAAGTCTCTAGGTCAAAGGTGAAGGTCACAGTTAGAGCTCATAGAAAAATGCTTGTCTGGAGCAAAACTTCTACATGCATAGAGGGATTTCAATATAATTCGGCACAAATGTTCATCATTGTGAGGCTGAGTGCCGTGCATAAAATTCAGGTCCCTACGACCAAGGTCAAGGTCACACATCCTGTGCATATCTTCCCTACTGATTTGTTTTAAGGTTCATTTAACAACACAGTGCCAAGAATAAAAACTTGCTTGCTAGATAACACTTATCCATAATGCCCCCATCTCCATCTAAAGCTTTCGTAAACGGGCGTATTTTGTGACTATGGCACCCTTGTTAATGAAGTCTATTTTTGAAATATCAAAATAGGTCAAATACAAATACAGAAAAATAGAGATAAAATGGGAGGTTTTGATGGAAAGTAGAGTAGGAAATACTTATACTTTGAAAAGTTGAGATAAAAATCTTACCCTTGTTGTGCTTATCTTTAATATTTCAATACAGAAAATCTAAATTATTTCTAGTGCTTTATCAGTTAATATCTGACATCATTGTGAGCTATATACATTAAAATTTTGTATCCACTTTGAAGCAGTTACTCAAGATGGGTAATAACAATTCTCATGTAACGTTTTCGTTCTGCCCGCTTGAAAATTTGCACTCAGTTTCTGTTTTGAACAGCATGAGTTTGAGAGAGACAAAAAAAAAAAACATTTCAAGGGGCTCATATTAAAGATTGGAAATTTATAGTTTGTATGAATTTCTCGATAATTAAGTGTGCTTTAAATGTTAAGGCAGAAGGGAACATTTTAATTGTGTTTTATTTGAAAATGAGCTGTTTCCACCAGTTTAAATATATGAATAGAATGTAAAAAAGAATTAACGGATAAAAGGTTATAATGAATATGATGGCAATTCTCGTTAAATTTCTGACCTATGACCTTTACATGAAGATGTGTCACATTTTGACAAGCACATGAAAATTTCATTCGCAGTCAGGGTTTGGCTGAAAACGCCCCGTCATATTTTGAGAAGCATAGTTAACTCAGATCATGTTGCCGCTATTGTTCAGATTTTTTTCGCCTGTTCAGCAAATTGTTTTTAGTGTGAATGTCAATTTCCAATCATATGTTAGCTGTTTACATGTTTGGTAATGTATACTGATGTAACCAGTATATTAGGGTATTTTACCAGTGCCAACCATTTTTAGTAACCAACTGACAAACAGTTTAGGCCAAAATTGTAGGCCATTTGAAAAGGAAAATAATCTGAATGTTGCAAATGATAAATATATTAAAGTAAATTATTAAAAAAAAAATAACCTTAACTTATGAATGTACATATTGGACTTTTGCACTGTGTTGAAAATAGAATTTTCAATGATTTGTGTGTATTGCCACTGGTTGCCCATATGAACAAGTCCTCCAGAAGAGTATTGAATTCATTTTAGATTTTTGGAGGATATTATCGAAGATACAGATATAGAAAGATGCCCAAATTCCAACAAGC